ACCTTGATCCACATGAATTCAGACCACAGCAGCTGTCCGTGAGGTTCATTAAAATCTCCCTGCTCCTTCTCGTCCTCTGTTGTCCTCACCTGGCGAAGCAGCCTGGCTAATATCCACTGTTCTCATCTCTAAGCTGAAAGCAACTGAAGAGAAAAAAAAAGAAGATGCTGACCATCTCCCTCCGAATTGGATCAGAAGGCAAAAACGGACACCACTCCACCTGGGTGACATTTCTACAATCCCCAGGTCCTTTCCAAAAGGGCCACTTCACTCTTCATTCACTTCCTCTTCACACCATCTCCTCACCCTCTTCCCTCACCCTGCCTCTAGGTCTTTGAGAAAATAAATGCCAGGGGGCAGGAAAGCCCTCTTCATCCCACATGCCCTCCTCGGGGGTCTGCCACCCACCATTTTGCCCGAGCTCCCTCCTGTCACCACTTGGGGATGGAACAAGCCCCCTCCATCTAAAAGCCAAACACTCCACCTGGGCTCCAGCTCCCATCATATCTCACCTTCCATCATCCATTTCTCCCCAACTATTCCCAACCATACTCAGCAAGATGCAAAGATTCTCTTTCCTCACACCAAACTTCTTCCTCATCAGTTCTCCCTTTAAAACACCCGACCTGCCTCCTGCAGCCTCTGGCCCGCCGAGGGCACCAAAGCTGTCAAGTCTAGCTTGTTCTTACTGTTCCCGACCTCGCAGCATCTCTTCACTGGGGCGCCCCCATTCCTGTCTTCAAACCTGAACTCCCCTTGGCTTCTATGACCAAATACTCCCCAGCCGCTGCCCCCCAACCTCACCAGCTGCTCCTTCCTTCTCAGGCCCCTCCACCACTCCAGGGGACTTCAGCCTGGGCCTTTCCTCCTTCCCATCCGGACACACTCCCCTAACTGACCTGGACCAGACTGGTGCTTGAAACACCACAGACAGACCAAAGGTTCTGAAAATGGCCCTCTCTGCTTTTCAGCGGGGCCAGTCCATCACCACAGCAGAACGCCCTCTCTCCCCTAGCTCAAAACCCAAACCTTTCCCTTCCCTCAGGCCGTGCTCAAGTCTTAACTTCTCCAGGAAAATTTTAATACCTTCCCAGGCCTCCAAGGCCCCACAGCTCTCTCCTCTTAACAGGCTTCCTAAAGCATTTAAACAATCAGCAGTACAGAATTTATTACTTAATTACAGACATTCTGAGATTGTTCCCTAGATGTCTGCTTTGCTTCGGTGCAAATCTTCCCTCTCCAACCAGACTGAAGTTTCCAAACATTTACACCAGCACTTCTTCTTGTGTACCTGGCACTGAGCTCCATACACCAGTGATGTCCAATTATCAGTTCTCTGACAGCAAAAGAACGTAACATTTTATAAAAGTAAAAACCAAACCCGAGCATTATTTTAGTCTGTTAAACAGTCAAAAAAATCTGGATTTTGTCCCAAAGTTACTTAATAAATCATAAATTTTTTTAAAAAGAAATCTTTTATCTAGAATCACCATGTAGCATCACCAGGAAAACACTAACTATTGGAAAACCAGGACTAAATCTGTGAAACCTTCTACCACTGACGTCTTCAGATTTTTTAAAACTTAACATTGAGCATTTCACATGAAACATAGGAATAAACAGATTCCCAACAAAATTTGTATTCAGTTTGTGCATAAAAATAATAAATGGAAGGTAATCCTTTAATGCAAAAGGCTACATAAGATACAAGGAACAATAGTGGTCAAGCTGAGGATTTCTGCCAAACCTCTCTAGAAACACGGCTATGAAAATAAGCGTTGTTCACTAAGATAGGAGAAGGATTTAACGGAGAAGGAAATGGCAACCCACTTCAGTATTCTTGCTTAGCGAATCCCAGGGACGGAGGAGCCTGGTGGGCTGCTGTCTATGGGGTCACACAGAGTCGAACACAACTGAAGCGACTTAGCAGCAGCAGCAGCAGGATCTGAGCTTTATGCTACATTGAAGTCCAGTTCATCCACTAAGAAGAAACAACCTTATTTTTCACTATTAAAGAAAAAGAAAACTTCAATCCCTGCCATCCTTTCAACCCCCAACTTTCCACTCGGCAGCCACATCACAACTCAGCTGAAAACGCTTGGCCACACCGAAGGAATTAGACAGCCCGCCTGTCCTTGACTTGTCCCCACAGCGCCCCAAACCCCTACCACCATCACCACCATTCCAAGCACTAGACATGTGTCCTTGACACTCCAGCAACTTCAAATGCACAACTCCTCAAGCATCTCCACTACCCTGGGCCTGCCAGGGCCTCCCACCTTTCACCCCCTCATCTCCTCCACAGTATCTTTCTCATACTTCTCAAATTGGGTATGGTTCTCAGATCCTCGACCCCACTCACTATGCCCCAGAGGAACCCCGGTTGCCCTCTTACGGGTTCCTTTTGCTAACTGTGCTCCCTGATATTAGAGTGTTTACCATACTGTCCTAAGACTTCATGAAACCTTCTCCTCAAATCTCTGTGAGTTCCTGGAGAAGAAAGATAATGTTTTTGTCTATATTCTGTATGAACTGAAAAGTGAGTGTGCCCCAAAACCAAAGGCCCAAGTTCTCACCCCTAGGACCTCTGAAAATAACCCTGCTGGGTAATAGGGTTGGTTTTTGTGGGGTTTTCTGCAGATGGAACTAAATCATGAATCTTGAGAAAAGAGCATCCTGGACTTCCAGTGGACCCCTTAATTCAAAGACTGGTGTCTCATAAGAGAAAGGAGAGTATTTGAAAGACACCAGAGGGAAGACCACTGGAAGACAGAAACAGATTGGAATTGAGCTGCCACAAGTGAAGGAAAGTCAGAAGCGGAAAAGAGGCAAGGATTCTCCAGGGCCTTGGCAGGAACATGGCCCTGCTAAAACCCTTGCTTTTGGACTTCTGGCTTCCAGAATGGTGAGAGAAGAAATTTGCTGTCTTAAGCCATCAAAGTAGTGATTAATCTACCACAGTCCTAGGAAAATAACACCTAGTCCAAACCTCAACATACTGCCAATGATCTAGAAATGATTTAATTAAAAAAAAAAAAAAAAAAAAAACTGTGTTGAACTAAGGAAGATGAAGACAGGGAGTGAAGATGAAAAAGCATGTGAACTGCAGGGCAAGAATCCAGGGCACAGACCCCCTCGCTATAAATTTATCACAGGAACTTGAGCAAGTCACTAATCTACTATGACCCTCTAATTTATTCTCTAGGAAAATGAGGAAACTGGCCCAGAACACCCCCCCACCATTCTGATACACCTGAAACCAACTTCATCCAGAACATCAACTTGATCTGATCCTTAATTATAATTCTTCCCACTCACTAAATAGTATTATTTTAAAGGCTTTCAGGTGCAAAAAAAAGGATTAAAATGACATTTCAAAGGCACATATTTTAATCAGCTCGTTAACACTCAATGAAAGTTTGATCATATGCTGAAAAATTATTTTCTACAATATCAACTTTTTTTCCCCTGCGAAATCAACAACTTACAAGTAGCTGCTTTAATTCTGCTGGGACTGTTGACAATTGAGGAAAAATCGACCTAAACTTGAATCAGCTTAAGTGCCACTGATTCAGAAGCCAAATATATGACTAATTTCTTCAGAGTAACAAGGGATATCTCCAAAACAAAGGTTTTCTCCACTTGACTCCAGACTGTAATTATGGGCCCATACTCAAGATTTCCACTTCAAAGAATCTGGCTAAGAAATAAATACAGCTGTTGCCACTACCAAGTGGTCAAGTGTCGGTAAAGGAATCAAACAAAACAAAAACTCTTTTACCATTTTCAGGCCTCCATAAACAGAAACACACACAGTTTCCCTGTGTTAAACCTTTCCTAATTCAAACAAATGGAAACGAAGAACAAAGGTGTTAGTAATGAAATCTGTACTTACCCATAAATCCTGCTAGGGTTAATTTGGGTTAAATTAAAAACCATATTTCTGGGCTAAATTAAAAACCATATTTTAAGTTCTTTCACAGGTCACGCTGTTCCTCTTGCCTTCATGTTTTTATAGTGGCAGCCTTGATTCTTTTTTAGGAAACCAACCAAAACAACACAAGGCGCCGAGGGGCTCATATTTCAGTTCCACAAAATACCCATTAGAAACACTTTTAAACTGTCCCAAACCAATTCATCGTTCAGAAAATAAAATCAAGAGTCACCGGGGCCAAGAGTTCAGCTAGAATTGGCAGAACCACATTTGCAAAACTGGACGGTGAATCGTACCACAAACTGAGTTACGAGACCAAAAATTTTTCTTTCCAGGTGGAAACTCAATCCGAAAATCAAGTCCCTTGAGTTGGAAGACTCAACAAACCCAGTTTGCAAATCTGAAGTTCTCGGCTTTAAAGATAAGCTCTCATACCCAAGAACCCGGGGGTCGAAGGTGCACGATTTCATCTCAAATATATTTCTGGGCCCTTAAAAATAACTCTTATTTTACAAGGTGCTCTTTAATGTAATAGAACTCAGCTAGCAAAAGCAAAGCAAACAGTCTGGAAATTTGGAGATCACACACAGTGGCGTTCAAAGTCCCTGTGTGGCTTTAGTATCCTGCAAACTAGCGTCCAAATAACTTGTGCAAGGAGCTGAAGGGCTGGCCCTTCTAGCCCAGCTCTGTTTTCCTGCCGCCCCAGCACAGGATGAATGAGCTTTAACTCCGCCGCTAGCATGTTTACTTGCATCCTCACGTGGCACCGCGCAGCTCACAAGCACTGCGCCGGGACCGCGCGGGGAAACCCTAAAACTTTTACTTTGCAAACTAGCGGAGCGACGCGGGCACACACCCGCTCGCCAGCCGCAGAAACGCCTCCGGGCAGAGGCACCCGGGGCTTCCCCAGCATCACCCCCGCCAGCCGCTGCACGCACATAAAGGCGCGGGGGTGGCGGCGGGAGCCTCTTCCAAGTCGCGAGAAGGGAGAAGCGGCGCGACGGAAAGCGGCTGGGACGGAGGAGACCCGGCGCCAGGACAGAGGGGCGCCCCGCGGGCTACTCACAGGGTGACCGTGCGGTTCGGCAGCGTGTCCGGGGGCAGGACCTGCGCGAGCTCCAGGCTGCTGCACACCACCTTGCCCTCGGCGGCGCCCGCCGCCCTCCCGGCCCCGCGGGGCCGCCCGTCGTGCTTGCAGCCCGAGGGCAGAGCCACGGCCTCGCCGCCCAGCAGCGCGAGCAGCGCCAGCGGCAGCAGCAGAAGGGGCGGCGGCGGGCGGCCCCGCGGGCGCCGGGGCCGTTCCATGCTGCGGGCCGGGCGGCCGGCCGGGGCCTGCGGACCGAGCGGCGCAGCGCTGGCCTAGCGGGCCGCCCCGGTGGCCCGGCGGACGGGAGCGCAGCGCGGGCCCGGCGGCGCCCGGAGTCTCGAGGTGGCCGGAGAACGCGCCCTCCTCGGCGCCGACATGCTCCTTTGTCCGCAGCTGCCGCGCTCGGCCTCTGGGGAGCCGCGGGGTCACGGCCGCGTGGGTCCCAGCGCCGCTCTACGGCCGGGCGGGAGCGCCGCCGCTTCCTCCACCGCCTCCTCAGTCGCCGCCGCCTCCCCCGGCCACTGCCCGCGGCGGCTCCTCCCAGCCCGCCGCCCCCGCCCCTTCCCCTCGCCGCCTCCTCTCCTCCTCCTCCTTCTCCTCTACCTCGCCGTCTCCGCTCCCCTCGCCGCCCGCGGCTCCGGGAAGGAGTGGCGTGCTCGGGGACCTGCGCCGCCCGCCGCGGAGCCGGACCCCCGGTACCTAGGCGCTCCCGGCCTCCGGGCCGGAGTTGTGGGGCAGCGGGAGTGCCGTAACTCGTGGGGAGGGCGGAAGAAAGTTCTAGTCCAAACTCCAGCCACGGTGGTCACTCTCGCAATTCTCTCCGCCTCCTTCAGACAAAGGCGCCCCGTGTGTCCCTGGGGCCCGCGCGTTCCTCCCGGCGAGCCCCAGTCCTGGGCTTGGGGAGAGGGAGGAGAGCAGGGCTCAATTTCTTTGGAGAACACAAGAAAGAGTGCCCCAAACCAACAGTCTTCAAAGGAATCGCCTTCCCTCCTCTCTGCGGAGATCTCGAACCTCCTCTAGGTACTGCGTAGTCTCGTTTATCCCAGAGACAGCCGAGCTGGGAACAGGGTCCTGTCCCAGAAAAAGGACCCTCCAAAGCCGTTTCTGGCCTTCGGCAATTCCACTTAGAACCTCCGCAAAGGATGCACTGGGGCCTCGATGGACCAGCAGCCTTTGGAAAAGGAAATTTCCCTCTGGTATCCAAAGATACCTCAGATATAACCGGTTAGATCAACTGCGAGTGAACTAGCCAAGAAACTCAAGTGGAATCTATTTTTCTTCTAGGCAGGGCTGCCACCCCCGCGCTAATATTTGCAACACCGGGGCTCACCTACCCTATATTTAAATATTTACAAGAAGTATGTCAAACCTTCAAAAAATATATATTCTGTGCTCCATCTTGAGAAATACTCCTTAATAACAACCTGGAAAGCCAGGTGTGTGTCCCGAGCTCGCAGATACCTTGGAGTTACACCTCATAAGTGGTCGGGAAGAAGGACGTACACCCCAGCACCTGGTCTAACACTTAACATGACTTTAACTTCCTGTGTCCGCTCCATTCATGAACCAGAGGAGCTTTCTGCACGCTTGTGGACACCGCAGTCTCAACGAAGCTCCGTGCGCACTCTCAAGTGGTATTGGCAGCCCTTCAGGCCTAGGAGTGCAAATACCAGTAGTTTGGTCCTCCCTTAAGAGGAAAATTCTGGAAAGAGGCCTACTCAAGCCCTGATAGAGCTTCCCAGGTGGCGGCAGCGGCTAAGAACCTGCCAGCAATGCAGGAGACTTGCGAGAGGCGGGCTCGATCCCTAGGTGGAGAAGATCCCCTGTAGGAGGGCATGGCAACGCAACCCAGTATTCTTGCCTGGAGAATGGTTTGGACAGAGGAGCACGACGGACTATAGTCCATAGGGTCGCAAAGAGTTGGACTGGACTGAAGCGATTTCACACACAGGCCCTCGAAGTAGCATTGGGAATTTTCAGTCACTGAATTCCAGGGGCCTGGGCTCCTTGGGCAAAGTCTAGTGACAGAAAGGCGACACAAGCTCTTAGGGAACCAGTCCCTCGGCCCTGGAGATTTTTCACCCTTTGGGGAGGGAGGAGAGCTTGGTTGGTGCCCTCTAAAACGCAGACCCAGGGACTTCCCTGGTGGTCCAGCAGTTAAGACTCCTGGCTTCCACTGCAGGAGGCACAGGTTCAATCCCTCATTGGGGAAGTAAGATCACATATGCTGCCAGGTACAGCCAAAAAATAAAAATAAAGCCAAAAATAAAATAACATGCAGAGCCAGAAAGGGGTTTTTCTTCCCCAAGTCTAAGGTCATTACTGACAAAGGTCCCTACAGAATCGATCTTAGGGGCCAGTTCCTAGGAATCTCTTTATGTGACTAGAACTTTATCAATAGTAAATAAATGATGTCTATTTAACAAACACTGTTGTGTTAAATTGAATAGCGCTTCATTTGATCAATGTTTTTTGAAAACCAACGATGTGAACCTGAAGGTGTCTATTGCTAATAGTGCATTCTGGAATAAAATATTCTAGATCTGCACTGTCAAGTATGGTGGCTATTTAATACTTGAGATGTAGCTAGTGTGAGGTCAGAAGAGAATTTTTCAGTTTAATTTAATTCAATACCTTGTTGAACTGTGCAGTTCTTGACACTGATGGATAGAAAAAGTGGGATATCATCATCACCATTAAGTAGCTTTAAACCTATAAATAAGCTTAAGTGGTGAAATTAAATAAATACTTTTGAATTTATTTAAAGAATTCTTATTCCCTAACACAATCATCATTATCATTGTCATCTGTTTTCTATGTAAAGATGAAAACTTCTTAGCAAAAATGGAAGTTTATTAGCCATATTACTATTGTCAGAGCTACAATTGTCATGTGAACTCAGAATCTCTATCTTCACACACTACTTCAGCCTATGATTGAAATAAATTTCCATGTCTGTTTTGAAATTTGTTTGCCATATTAACACCAGTTTGATACATATCCTCTTTTATACCTCACTGTAGTTGAGAAAGCTGTAGAAAGCACAGAATCATCAGAAATATCTCAAGTAATATCCTGAGTCCAAGGAGAAATATGGAGGACATGTTTTATTACATGGATGATTTCAACCATTCTGGCACAGAAATCACTATCTCTGTCTTTGAAATAAATCACTACAAATCACACAATAATAATACAGTATATTAAAACTGGAAAAGGCTTTAGAAAGTCTATCTTTCAACCCTGTAGTCCTTGGAAAGCACACAACCCTGAGTTATCATTCTGTACCAGCGTGGGTGCATAAGGACATGGCAAATGGTCCTTTCCCCAGTTATGAAGATCTCTGAGGATGACACTGTCTGAAACTTACCATCATTTACCCTCAGTCACACCAAAATCTTCACTTTAATTAAGCTACCCCAGCCCTGACAGTGTCTTGTCAGACAGGTCTACCTACTGCTGATTCCCCCCTCAGGCATCAAGAACATTATACCTTTTGAAGTCACAGGACTTAATAGGTCCTTTCAAAGTCCTCACTGTGTTGTTAGTTATCCCACTTTAGAACATCCTATAGGAACTGTTTGAGAAATCACTCATTAACCATATTCCTGTACACAGACTCCTGTAAAGTTGTGTTGTGTCAACTGTTGCTTTAAGGATGGTAGATGGACCACATTCCAAGGCTTCTATGCTGCGAATCCTGTCTTGCTATGTTATGTAAAGCTTGTAGGAGATATCAGGGAAACATTCAAAGATGCTTTGTTTATCCTCCTGGTATAGACTCTGTGTTAGCTATGTACATGAGTAAATACATATGTATATATATTTATTATGCAATAAATACATGGATTTGTATATATATGTACCACCCTATTTATTAACAATTTAATTTTATATGGCTGTCTTCTTCCTTTTCTACCAGATGATGAGCTTCTTGAGATTTTTCCCACCCCTTCTTAAATTACTCCCTCCACCTTCAATTACTCCCTGTTACATCACTCTAAAATCTAGACCAGTCATCTAGACTGAATCTAGATAACATGGCTTGTTCCAACCTGAAGATGGCTACCTTTAAAAGTTTGTTTATAGGTTTATGATGTTAGCCTCCCGCATTACAATACCAGCTCTATGACACTTAGTCTTATTTACTTTATAAGGCAGACTCTGTTAGTTTCTGGGCTCCTCTCAGGGCTCAAACGGTAAAGAATCTGGCTGCACTTCAGTAGACCTGGGTTTGATCCCCGGGCCCAGAAGATCCCTGGGAGAAGAGAATGGCAACCCACTCCAATAGTCTTGCCTGGGGAATTCCACGGACAGAAGAGCCTGGTAGGCTCCAGTCCATGGGGTCGCCAAGAGTCAGACACAACTCAGTGACTAACACTTTCACTTTCTTCTGTTAGTTACTGCCAAAGAGCCTTTCCTCAACTTTTTCTCCCTTGGAGACTGAAAAAGCTGTGCAATCATTTCCCCTTGGAGGGAAAGAGTTGGACACAACTGAGTGACTAACAGTTTCACTTTCTTCTGTTAGTTGTTGCCAAAGAGCCATTCCCCAACTTTTTCTCCTTTGGAGGCTGAAAAGGCTACACAATATGGAAACTACTGGTGGCCATATTGTAGTTCTACCCCAAAAGAATCAAAGGCAGTGTTGTCCAATATGGTAGATATTAGACACAGGTATTTAAATTTAAACTCAATTAAAATTAAATAAAACTAAAAATTCTATTCCTTAGTCACACTAGTCATAATTCAAGTGCTCACTACCCATACGTGGCTGGTGGATACCATTTTGGGCAGCACAAATTATGGAAGAATTTCAACTCCCAGAAAGCTCTACTCTTCAACACCAATCTGAGGGGAGTCTGCCGAGAAACTTCAGGATAGAAATTTTGATAAATTTTGATAAATAGGGAGAAGATCTGTCTCATCCTTCTTGCTTTGGAAATGGTATGGTGAGGACATGAGGCATGGAGCTGAAGCAAGGTCTTTTGAAACCACAAGGCAAAAGGAACAAAGGAAAATTCCTAAATAATAAGAGGAAATGGAAAGACAGCGAAAACACTTGGATCCCCGAGGTCATGGTTGAGCTGCCTCTCAAACCTCTGGACTTATTTTTATTGTGAATGTTCTCTGGTTTAAGCCACTGTTGTTTTGGTTTTCTAGTGCCTACAACAGTGCCTGGCACATGGAAGGGAGTCTAAAGTGTTGATTCTCATAGTTTGTACCTTACTCATTTTTATGTGGCAAACATCTAACACAGTTCTTCATATATATTAGCTAGTGAGTGTTGAGAAGATTGACTGATGTCCTGTCTTCCAAAATCAAAGGGAAATGTGTAATGTCATGATTAAACTGACATGGAAAGAACAGCAATTTTTAGCACTTGAAATATCTCAGTGACACCTCTATAAACCCTGTTAATAAACAGACATTCTCTGTTTATTTTTGCATCATTTAATGTTAATCTATTAGTTGTGACAGCTGTAGTTTATATTTTTAGTCATTACATG